TCCCTACAGGATCACTTACAAAAAATATCTTAAAAGTATGTCTGATTGTGTAATTTCTTGTAATGGTTTGTTTTACTTTGTGTTTCCTGAAACTGCAAATTGCAAAGCTATAAAACACAACATGAAGTTTCTTCCAGTGTTCAGAGTTCAAAAATGAAATACTGTCAGAGAGAGTTCTTGGAAAGGTGGGCCTTTACAAGAGATATTTTTGATACAATTACATTTGTTAATCTTTGAGAGTTGTAAATGTGAAAAACTTGAAATAATGCACAAATAGTAGTGCTGCTGAGATGACTAGTAAGACTTGATAATTATGTTAATGAATCTGGTATTACTGCTACTTACCATGGTGAGTGAGTACTCTTCATTGATTCTTTGTTGATAGTCTCTTCTTTATTGTCAGAGATGAATAGTGGAATGCTGCTGCTTGAATCCTACGTTTGAACATTCGTTTCTTTTACTTCAACAGGTTTTAGGACTGGTTCAAAATATGAGTGTTTTCCAGTGTCCCAAGTGTAAGCATAAGACACACATTTTTGGAGCTGATGGTGTAAGAGATCTAGCAAAAACCCTTGGACTGGATATTTTAGGTAAGAATACAGAAATGGTTTTATACTAGAAAAAAATTAAAATGATTGGGGTGTGTGAGGGATGCATTATCTGAAGTATGGAACTGCATAGTCCTAGATTACTCCATATTCAGGCATTGTTCAGATATAATAGAACTAATAGCTTAAGTAGTTGAATGTCACAATTTTCTATGCTCAGTTCCTTATCAGGATCATTACTGTAAATGGGATGTGGACTGGATGTGAAAATTTTGAATTGCATCTTAAATCTTTTTTGATTTATAAATAATCCAAAAACATGAATTGCTTTTATAATGATGTGTTAGTCTACCTGAAATTCATTTTTATTGATAATACAACCATTTTTTCAAATAACCAAGAGTTCTGTTTGGTCTTGTATAACAGGCCTAAGCTCTGTCCATTAATGTCAATAGAAGTTTTCTTATTTGCTTAATTTAAATTAAATGAATTGTTACATATTGTAATAAATATGGTAAATTGTAATGTATAAATGCAATTGTAATAAATATGGTGATTCGAAATGCAGTCCCTTCAAACAGTTGTTTTTCTGCCCTTATGAAGATATCTTGACTCTTGTATGGAAGCAAAAATATACATTTTCTTTTTAGAAAGACATATTTCAACCTGTGCTATCAGTAAAAAAAAAATTACAGAATATAACGCAGCGTAATTAAGTTGCTAAATGGGATAATTGCATGTGCTAATGATATGTTTCCATGTATTACTATAATTATCTCAGTGATTTTCCAAAGTTAATTCATTAAAAAGAACCAGGAAGCTCACTTAAAAAGATCAACACAGAAACATCAAGGTCTGACATAAACTTAAGACAGCACAGCAGCACATAATTAAAGACATGCTTTTGGGCTGTCTTTTAGTTTTCTGAAAATATAATGGGTTGTGATCAGAGCCCAAGGGGACTTCTGCAGCCCTGGGTTATGTGGATGGATGCAGATCCTCTGCAGGTTGAATCCAACATGCATTGAGATACACAGGAACAAATGATGTGCTGTGCCATGGGTCCCATAGATGGGTTTTGTTATTCCCTAAGAGGACAAAACTGATTGTGATTGTATTTAATTAGAACTGATGTGAGATATTTACAGGTTTGCCAGGGGATGGATGAGATGCGTGAAGAAAAGGAGAGTGAAGTTTATCTTCAAACTGTCAGTGAAAGACCAAACTAAGATTAAGAATAATGCCCCAAGGGTTAAATTTAGAATTACTTGATCAGATTAGAAATGCTCCTCCTTCCAGGGATGACCATTATATAATAATGCCATATGGTATTATAAGAATTACGGCTTAAGATTTTTTATTAATCTATCCCAAATGGAACTTTTATCCCAATGTTATTTGAATTCTGCTCAAAAGCCTTGAGAACCTTAATATAAATGTATATAAAATGTATATATTTAAAATTAGTATTTATTATTTTATTTTCCTTGTATTTGGTAACACCTTCTGTTTGTTCAGCTAAGCACCTAGTTCTCTTGTGAAACCTGACAAGGTTTTGGTTTCCATTATAACATCTGAGAAATTCTGCAAGCTAACAATATGCAAGGTTTTGAATGCTCTGTTCCTTGTTGAGATCATTCTTGTAAATGGGATGCTCAGATTTGGCTGCCTTTAGTGTCACTGAATACCTCCTTTATTTTTGTTTATGGCAGAAGACAATTAGGAGTTGCCAGTACACTTTGACTGTAGTTCATTATTTCATATACTTTTGATGGTCTCATCCTTTTATTTTTCCCTAAAGGAAAATGTGCCAAATTTTGAGAAAAAGACATGTGCTGCTGATTGTTTCTTGCCCTGTCTCTGATATTCCCCTATTTTGCTTTCTTTTTTTTTTTTTTTTTTAAGTTTGATAACTGTAACTGACCAGAAAGCTACACCTTTATATAAATATAATGCTATGATAATAATTTCTGTACACTCCATCCTGACCTTTGCACTTCATAAGTTTTTAAACTCTATCATTTAATAGAACCAGCAACAATGTTGCTAAGGTATATGAATTAAACTGATACAGTTTCTGCGACCAGTCAAGATTGAACTGTGATAGGCTGTTGTGCCTCCATCCATCCATGGTATAAAATGGAGCTGTATCTTCCATTAAAAGAAAGTTGGTCTTTGGTTCACTTTGTAATTATCTATGTAGCAATGAACCAAACATGGGAACTTCAAGTTTTCTTTAGTACTGAAAAAACTGTATTTCAGGAAATATGTTTCAGAGTGGATTAGGGCTGCTAATTGATTCTCCTTTAGAGTGTTCCTTTCCTCTCAGACAGTTCTCTGCTTGTTAGAGAAGCAGAGTATAAAGAAGATTTCTATTGGGAAGAAAAATTAACTGAATAGTTGTCTACCTTTTAATTAGATACAAAGCCTTAAAAGGGCAAAACCAATGAAATTATTTAGATATTATGTATTCAAATAAGTCTTTGAACAGTGATTAAAATCTTAAAACAGCACTGAAAAGAATATGCAATGAGGGGATAGGCTGAAGAGTAAGTTGCATGATGAGTATTTGCCTAACACTCAAGCAATTTTTTTAATGCAGACAAACCAATTTGTATCTCAGCCTGTGTTCTGCTGTGTATTCAAGTCAAAAAAGCAAGCTGCCTTCTCTAATTAATGACTTCAAAGCATAGTCCTTCCTATTCAGAGAAGAAAAATCAAGAGTATGTTTGGCATTACTTATTACGGATTTACAGAAACTGTATTGTAGCAAATTTTCATTTTAAACACTAATTTTTTGAGATTGAATATTGCAAGGAATCTACTGAACTGGAATTCTTTTCAAGTTGCTTTAGATCTATTTTAAGGAAAAATTTAATAAATATTAGGTCTTCATGTATGTGTATCTTGGTATTTTTGATCCAGGTGACATTCCACTGCATGTTAATATACGGGAGACGTGTGATTCAGGACAGCCTGTTGTGATCTCGCAGCCTCAGAGTGATGCTGTAAGTTTGGTGCATTGCACTGAAAATGGAAATGTGCTTGTTTTACATAGAAAGTGTGAATGGAAAGTGCTTGTTATTGCTGAAGACAAATGTGTATCTGAATGTAATTTAGGGAAATAAAGTAAAAGAAAGTAGTATCATCAAGTATTGCAGGCCTTTAATTTTGGAGTGCTGGTCATCTGTTCTGCTTCTGTGTGTTTGGTTTTGTTTAATTAGGCTGAATAATTCAGAGTAGCAAAGATTTGATCCAGCTTCTGGCATGACAAGAAGGTCAGTGTCAAGCCTCATGGGACTGTGCAACTAATGTAGGTCCTCTAAAAATGTCAGTTGAGCCTTTGGTTTTTGAGCCTGGAAACTGTTAAAGGGTCCTATCAAAAGATGTTGGGAACAAAATCTGCGTATTGTCAGTACCTGGGTTATTTTCATCAGGAAGCATAGAAATTTGCACAGAAGAGGAAATGGATTTTTCTGTGCCTTTACTCTAATATTTTATTGCCTAAGGAAAATATGAGTTGTTGAGGTGATGGGAGTCAGATATGCAAGTCTGTAAAGGAAAGCAGTTGCAAATACAAATTTAATTAACAATGATAGTATAAGATTTTCCTGGCTAGTGTTTTCTCTTGTTCCTCTGCTTGAGTTTGTTTGCCAGGCTCTGTAGGGCAGGTTGTCTGCCACATTGTGTTTGCACAGTACATGGCACGATACAGCCTCACTCTTGACTGCTGCTTGGATGTTACCATAAAAAAAAAAAGTAATTAATGCTAAAAATAGATGCTGAATCAAGTAGAGATAAGGTAGAATGTACAAATAAGGTAACCTTTCTAATAGCATGATTGCTAGGCAAATGCTGAAATAATTTTTCCTTCCGATTTTTTTAGAAGAAAAGAAAGGGTAATGCATTCTTAACAACATACTGATTGGGATTCTGGAGGAACAGTGACAGTCTTAAAATTGTCATACAACTTTTGTTTTGAAAGAGAAGCGGCAGCCCTACGGCATGTTGATTTCTAATAGATTTCTGATCTTTGCTAGGCTGGGGCTAGGCCCTTGCTGATCCTCTTGTGTAATAATGTAGTGACCTTGAGTCTAGATCCTTGAGAAAATGAATCATTATAATCAATATGGTGGTTTCTATCTGGGAAGTTTGATCAGCAGTGTGAAGGTTTGAATAGATGCATGGCTTAGGTCAAAGTTGAAGCAGAACAGCTGAGTAAACCAAGATGGAAGGCTCACAGCTCACAGCATCCAAAATCTATAATAACCAAAAGTCCATGGCCTGCAGGATTATCAGTCTACAGATTCAGATATGTAGGATTGCATTCTGAAAATTTAAAGAGATGAGAAAGTCTGTTATGTTGCCATCTGTTCCTCCTTGGACTTGGTAAAGAAAGAAGGGGTTATAAGCACCATTTGTGGCAACTAAGTTAAATATGAAGAGGAATAAAGATTGACAAATATGTGTGACTCTGGGGAAAAGTTTTAATATTCTTCTCTGCCATCCTATCTATGAGATAATAATTCTCCTCAGAGAATGAGGCTTTTTTAGATGCTACTAATCTCTACAGAATGAAAAAGAATTTCCCTTTATCCCTGGTTTGCTTTTAATTTTAAAGACAGAGAATATTATTGTTGTTCTCTTATATTTTAAAAGAAGAATTAAAATCTTAGCACATAACTGGTGGTGGGAGAGGTTATATAAGGTCAGATTCTAATCTCTAATACATGACACCCATCACAGTGTTTCGCAAATAAGCTAGAATTGTGGCTATTCATGCATGAACAATCACAATTTTTCAGACAGAGAACAGCAGCTCTGCACACATGGAACTTATCTCTGCTCCTGTCCCTTGAATTTAGAGGGTGTTTTTACAAAAAAATTTCTGTGCTTTTTTTGTTAGGACACATAAATGAAATACAGAATCACAGAAATAAAATAATACCAAGTCGATTCAAATAACGGGAAATAAGGATGGTGATTGACTTCTCAGAAACCCAGCTTGCTGTCACACCTTCTACGCTCTGTCAAGACTAGAATAAAGGGTGTTTCTAGTATATGTTAGTTAATGCTTTTTTTGTTTACAAACCTACCATGGGGCTCAACTCGCCTTGGCAGTATATATAAGTATAGCTCTCACTCTACACTAGAATTTGTAAATATGTTAGCAAACTGGTCTAAATTTGTTTTTTGAAAGCTTATATGTGGTTGATGGAAAAGGGAATCTTCTTTTTCACAATTGACAAGGAAATTACTGAAAAACAAAACAACCCTTCCAGAAAAAAAAGAAAATTACTTGTAGAATTTGGCGTATGTCAAGTTAAAAAGTTCTTCCTCAGGGAAGGCACAGAATACATAGGACTTGTCTACTTACTGAAAGGGCTGACTATATAGGACAAGAGGAAATGGCCACAAGTTTCACTGGAGGAAGTTTAGATGGGATATTAGGAAAAACGTATTTGCTGAAAAGGTTGTTAAGTATTGGAACAGGCTGCCCAGAGAAGTGGTTGAGTTGCCATCCCTGGAGGTATTTAAAGGACGAATGTGTGGTGCTTTGGGGCATGGTTCAGTGGTGGACTTGTCAGAGCTAAGTGAACAGTTGGACTCAATGATCTCACAGGTTTTTTCCAACCAAAAGGACTCTGATTTTTAGGTAGCTAAAGGGTGTGAAGGTTTAATGGCCAGGGTTCTCTTCTGGTAAAGCTTGAGACAGTCCCCAAGGAGAAATAAACAGTGCTGGTAAAATGATTTTCCTCTTCATATAACATTGTCTTTGTTAATGTTTCTGTCAGCATAGTTGTTTAAATTGTGGCTTTTTTAACACTCTTCATTGACAGGACTCAGTTATGTGCTGAACTTGCATGTTACTCTAAGTGGCAGGGGTTGGTCTAACAGAAAGTGAGTAAACAGACCACAGCAATTGGGAGTGATCTAAGATCCTCTACAAGAAGATTTCTCAGTTTAATCAGCAGTGAGAACTTTACCAGACCCTCTGGAGATGAGAGTCCTGGGACCATTTTCCTCCTTTACAAAGCTGTGAAGGTAGATTGGCTGACTAGGGCTTTGATTTTTTGCTCATCCGAACATAAGAGAGTTTCTAGACAGTGGAGTCTAGTAAAGGGAAATCAGGAGCATTGCTAAAATGGTGGAACAGGGAAAATGGGGATAAAGGTAGAATAGGGGAAACAAATGAGAAATCAGTGAAATCAGGTAGAATTGATCATGCTTAGATGTAGAGGAAGCTCCTAGGGATCATAAGAACGAACCAGCAGCAAAAGAGGCATTTGAAAGAGGCATCCTGAAATTTGCACACTCTCCCACCAACACTGGAGGAAAAGCAAGTAGAGGTTCCTGTGAGTGCTTTCATGTGTGAGCACTGTCCTGGCTTGAGCCAGGATGAAGCCCATTTTCTTTTTACTGATTTCTTTTTTTTACTTCTCTTTTAACTAGCAGCAAGTTTTCTAGCTAGTGGACTGTCAAACCATGACAGAGCACAAAACCCAGAGAGGTATTGGGGACAGTTTGTGCTTATTTTGTGAGGACTTCCTGCTAGAAACTTCTGGGTATGTCACAGCCTTGATGGCACCTCTTGCAGGTATGCACAAGCTTAAATGCAGTGTGATGAGGAATATATGACTTGGGTAGAAGAGCCAAAATTGTTGTGGGGCAAGGAAACTAGAACTTGTGGCTGGAAAACATGCTTAATGTCACCCTATCCAGCTTGTGATAAGACCAGTGTATGATACAAACATGACATACTTCTTGGGGGAAGTTCTGTTATTGTCTGTTTAACATTTAACAATTTTAAATGTATTCAGCCTTCTTGAAGATTTAATATACTCATACATGTTGGTGAAGGATTTTGAGGCGAGTAAATTGCACACAGATCTATAAGGAGAGAGAAAAAGCCCAGTCAGGTGGAAATTGGGGGCACAAGACATCATCAGTCTGATGTAAGAGGGGAAATTAAGTCTGATTAAAAATCCCTTTTCAATTAAATTAGAAATGTTACAGGCCTTACTGTGGTATTATCCAAAGAGGCAGGTGGAATTTGTATTCAGAAAAACATTTTTTTTGTGGAACTATGAAGAAGTGTTGTGTGAGGAGGGTAAAAATCTACAGCCTTTTAAAACTTGCAAGAAACGGTTGCAGAAAAATTGAAATGGTGGAAGCAAATAATGTTTGCTGTTGTTTAGCTGTCATCAATAATTCCATTTAAAGAGTGGTCTCTCCAGGCTGTGATATCTTTAAAAGAAAAGTAAACGCTAAAGAAGGCTGCATTATATGATTTCTAGTATGTCTTATCATCAAGACTTCCTTTGAATGATCACAGTAACGTTTGGTATGTGTAGATTTGAATCCTTCATTCAGGGCGTAGCCTGTACAATGCATCATCAGACCTTCATTTATGCTTCATTCTGCTGAAGAAAATTCTGAGCCTGTTTGAAGGATGTTACTGTATTGCATTTGAATTGCACTGTTCTACTTATCCATGTTATCCGTGTTGTCCAGGCAGGATGTCTTCTTTGATGTACTTAAAGGTACCTGAGTGATGTACATGCATAATGGCACCTTGGGGTTAGCAGTGTTTACAAGTTGAGGCTCCTTCAGAGGACCACTTGACTTTTGTAACTGCTGATATATAGGATTAACTGGATATTTCCCATGAACACTGAATATTTTTTTGAGGTATTAGGTTCAGGAAACATCCAGTTTACTTGCCCATCTCCTCCATTTCACATTGTAATTTATGGATTGACTTTTATACTCTCATTAAGTCCCCTTTCTGGGCTGGGACTTCATTGCAGCTTGGCAGGAGTTACCCAATACAGGCAAAGAAGAGTCTTGAGGTAGAACTTCCCAGAGAAAGACAGACTGGGAGAGGCCCTGGGACTCTTGCAGCAATCAAGAATTTATTTTGTTGACATGAAGCTTTTATCTGAAGTGGAAGCTCATTTAGAGCTGTGTTTATTCTCAAGCTTTTAGTGCCTTCTGAGTTGGCCACAGTAAAATACAGACGTCAGAGGGCAGCTCCAGGCATGCAGTGAAGGTTGGAGTTGTATCAAAGTAACTAGCAATTTCCATGGAAATTAAAGCTATTTAAAAATTTGATTGAACTGGAAAATGGACTGTGGTTGTGCAAAAGAGAGTGCTGATAAAAACAAAAGCTATCACCGCATTCTTTTCATGCAGATGGTAGCTAAGTCTAGTAATTATCATAGTTACTATTTGATTGGTTGCTCGTTACTCAGTGTTGTTAGTTGCCTTTGGCAATTCATAAAGTAAAAGCCCTTAACTGCTCAGTTGAGCAGATTTAAATGCCTTATCCTTCTTTACAGGTATAGGAACATCCACAACATTGGATATTCGAGACAGTCGGACTTGCATAAATTCCCCCCTGGATTGCTGGACTGGATAAAGCATTTTAATAGTGTTGTAGCTGTGTAATCACAAATAGAAGTTAGAAGCTCTGTCAGTACCAGGATTTACACTCTCGTATACTTGGCCTGCAAGTGATTGAGTCAGTGTGCTTTTTCTGAGTACCTGGTCTCGAGTTGTTTCTGTGGTTGGGTGAAGGTGAATGTAACCTCAGCTTCTACCTGCTTTGACTTTGGTGATGGCTAAATTGTATTCTGTGTTTGTGCAGTCATTGCTCTACACTGGAAAACGCTGTAGTGAGTTGTGTGTAGACTAAGATCTGCCCTTCACTGAAAGACAAACTAGCAGGTCAGTTCAATCCAATCCAATCCATGAGAACAGGGCAGAGTCAGCTGCAACCCATATGGTCGATTTGCAGTAATCTTAGCGGTGGTGCATACTTCCCTCATGGGTAAGATTTTTGGGGAGAATGAAATACCATAACTGAAAGGCTCACATTTCTCTAGGATTACCGTAGGGCTTAATTAGATGAGCTAATAAAAAGACTTAGAGTTTAAATCTACCCTGTGTCTGTTACCTCATGACAGGGTAATGAATCAGGATGTTCTGATTATTTAGGCTAAGTATGACATTTCAGTCCTTGCCTGATGAACTTCATTACCAATTCTCCATTTCCTACTCCAGGATCTGTGCTGTCATTAGTCACTTCATCATCTTCCCTGCCCTGTCATTCCTAAGGAGGTTTGTGATAGAAAGATTGTAGCACTCTTTTCTGGCAGTGTTTGTACCAGTGCTGGAGAGGCGAACAGTCTCTGAACATGTCCTCTGCCCTCCCCAGTGCTGCTCTCAGACCCCATCTAGGCAGTGTTTGTAATGCACAAGCCTGGTGTGTTTTTAGGGCATTCTGTCTTCCTGTGCACTTCGCCATCCTCTCAAAGCAGGAAGAATGTTTGGCTTCCAGCCAGCTGATATGTTACTGTAAATATAAAGTTGTCCATCTGCAAAAAATGTTTTCAGAAAGACATTCTATAAACCATTCCTTCACAGCTTGCAAACCGTAAGGGCAAAAACTGATTTGCAAAGTTCACTTTTATCCTATTAAAATGAAAATGATGTGAATGATGAGTAAGAACTCATCCTTTTTCTCCTCTGACTTTTCACCCAAAAAGCAAACAAAACCCCCAGAGTTTTCAGTTGCAACCCATCTTCTTTTGCTTTGTAATGATGGAGTAAACAGCTGAATTGAGCTGTCTACTGATGCCCCATAAAAAACATCATGAGTAGGAGAAAATGTTCAATACATGTAGGGTTGTTTTTATAAATGAAAGGCTAAGTGACAGTCACTGAGTTTGCGTTTAGACCTTTCACATAGCTGAAGCATATTACTGCTTATAGACAGGTCCTCACTCATAGCTGGTTGATTTGTTCAAAGATAGGAAACTAAGGCTTCAAACAGTTGAATTTGTCAAAGACAGGTTGGTAAAGTTCTGCAAAGACATGTGTGAGATTCTGTTCCGTTCAATGTATGAAGTAGTGGTCTAGGAAAACAAAAAAGGTTCCTTAGCATGTAAGACTGCTGATTATGCTAGGGCTAGGTAATACTAGCTTGCTGGCTACAAAGAGTTATGAAGTGACAGATCAGCTACTTGGCAGATGAGTGCCAGAGTACCTTGTGACACTGATGCCTGGATATTCACAGTGTTTTTGGGAAAAAAAAATCTAGTTCATTTGTGATCTTGACATGGGGTAAAACTTATAGAAGCAATCAAGTCTCTCAAGCAAGATAGCTGGTTGCTGGCTGGTTGGTCGTGGAAGTTTGTGTTGCAAGGACCCTTGCCAGTGATGTCTTTGGCTGGATGAAATGAGATTCCCTGAACTGCTGTTTAGCTCAGTTTTAGTAATGCAGCTAGTCCATGGTCCTCTGTGACTACTAGAGCATATGCAAAATCTGTTGCCACTTGATTTATGAACATAACAGCTCCTGTCTTAACTATGTACAAAACCACTGTCTGTGTTACTCTTTTTGCACCTGCAAGAAAAATTTCTACAGTGTATTTATAATTCTGTGTGCAGCTTGGTCAAGTCTGGGGCAGGAACAGCCTGAGCAGTCTCTAGGAGGGGCCAGAGTTTCCATACAGGTTTTTAACTAGCTCATTAAAACATGTGAATTACTTTGTGCAAAATGGGAGCTGCCTGCAGGATGCTTCAAGATAGTCCCACCTTCAGTGCTCCTACACTGATTAGTCAAATACTTAACTGCAAAGGCAGCTTGACTTCAGTCAACTACCTTATTTCAAGTTGATCCATTATCTCATCTAGGCATATGTCTAGCTGGGGAGTAGCCAGACCACCCAAGGAATTAATAGCTAAGTGTGGTGAGTTTTGCACATGGGCACAGCTGTACTACCCAACTGTACTGCAGTTATACCCATGGGGGAAGCTTGAATTTCATGGTGGTGATTTCAGCTCTGTAGTTCTTGCCACAAAGCCACACATACGGGCAAAAACAATCCCAGCTTGGTGTTTGCATTCCTTACAAACGCAGAAAATTGCATCATTTCAGTTCTGAGGTGATGCAAGCACTGGCACTGCATGGCACTGAGGCTGCAGTGCCAGAAAAGAAAGCCCTATGAGCCGGGAGCAAATCCTGGAGGAGAGGAGATGTGTTAGGAGTGCCTGGCCCTGCAAAAGGCTGCCATCTGGTTCAGACCAGTGGCAGTTAGTGCTACAAGCCCAAGTGAGAGACAGACCTTCTCTTCCTTCCCCTCAAGCTCTCTTCTCAGGCATTTGTTAGCTTGTTTACTATTTTTAAGGCTCATCAGGGATACAAGGTCTGACTCGAGGTTATAGCCATCTAAGCATGCTGTGGGAGGCAGGGAAGATCTGTGCGGTAGCAAATATACTGGTGAGTTCTTCTGGTGAAACCAGGAAGGTTGTCAGCGTGGGCTCCATATGCAGACTTACTTGAGAAGATGGAGAAGTAGCTTGATTACAGTAAAAGGAAGTGGAATAGTAAGGGGGGTTTATGTTGTGCTACGCAAACACAGAACATGATGCAACAGCTAGAGCTTGAAGCATAACAAATTCAAATTATAGATAAGGTGTACTTTTAGAACAATGGAAGTAATCAACCTCTGCAACAATGCACAAGAGATATGTATGCACTCTCTTTCAGTTGAAAATCTTTGTATTAAGATTGGACACCTTTCTAAAAGGCATGTTCTATTTTAACTACAGGTTTTATTTCTTGATTTGTTCTGTGTTGGATCTTTATTTTTGATTGGTTTGTTTTTTGTTTTGGGTTTGTTTTTTTTGGGATCCTCTATCTCAGTCCTGGGTCTTCAGGGTGAGGGAAATTTATAATTAATAGTGCCTGTGGGACTAAAGAGTCTACTTCCTCAACATTTCTGCTGCAGAAGGATATTGATGTTTAAGACAAAAAGTTCAATCAAGTTCTATTTTCAGAGTAGTACAAAAGCTAAATTTTACACAGCCCCTCCTCTGTATTTCAGATAATACTTGTACTTTTTTAAATGTAATAATGCATGTTTTTTCCTGAACACAACACTGGCTAAATTGACTGCATTTATTGTAACATGTTTTTCTTTGAAAGTGTGTGAAAGAACAGATGCCTTATGAGATGCAAAATATTCCTTTTTATAGAAAATGAAAGGTGCTAAATATACATTTCTGTTTTTACAGGCTAAAGCCTATCTAAAGATAGCTATGGAAATAGTAAGACGACTGCCAGTACCTCCTGTTTGAAGTGTTTACTACTGAAACTTAGCAAAAAAGCAATCTTTTGGTACGACCAATGCAGAAGAGTCCTACTGCCTAAATACATGGATGCCATATTTTAGTTCTGAGTTCTCTGTTAGGTGTAAATTTACCAGAGGTTATGATCGAGATATTTACTGTTTTTCAAATTGCTGTTTTGCCATGTCCAAATGGATTGAGGTATGCAAGAGATGATGGACAATAACTGCTGTCTTTTAACATCATCAGGCAAGAAGGGATGAAGTACATTTTTCATGTGTCCCATTCTAAGGTGAAGAATGAAAAGAACCGTTCCAGCCAAGCACAGTGATGAGAGGGATGCCAAGGCATAAATCCTGCTTTAAAAATTACATTTGCAACACCTTGACTTCTGTCAGTTTTGGTTCAACATCTTACTTGGTTAACTACCAAGCTGACCTTAAGTTCTGCAAAATTTTAAGAAGCAAATTTAGTTATGTAACTGCAATATTTTTCTGTATTCATCTTAGAAGAAAAATAAAAATTGCATATACTTGGAAGAGTTCTTGTGATGAATCATGAGCAGATTCATTCATTATTGGGTAATCTTCAATCATGAGGCAATTCACAGTTTAGTGGAAAATGGATTAGATGACCCCAAGGCTTATTTCTTGACTGCTTTGCATTATAATGGACCCCAACAGAAGACTAGGTTACTAAGGTCTTCACTGAAGGCCAGATGTTGTGCCTGAGTTCCGTTTACCAAGATATAAAAATAATAAAAACTAAATTTATGATTGTGTATTCCTATGTCAGTGCAGCAACTTGGAATTTGAGTATAAAAATGTATTTTTCAAGTAAAGAAAACTTTGATCATCAAAACTGTGTCCTCTTGGTTTGTTTTTTTATTGTCTTACATTTCTGTGGTATTTATTTTTGTGTTGGTGTATGAAAGGGGAAGAACATGCCATCAAGGAATGAGTTTCCATTTACAATTAAATGTTTGAGCTGACATTTAGGCTTTTTCATATACAAAGTCAAGTATGGGTATCTTAACCATACTGTACCATACTGGGTTTAGGCATAGTAGAGGGCTCTGCTGTTAACCTTTGTGGGACCAAGATTTTCCAAATAATTATTAATAATTTTGGATGTAGTTGTTTTTTCTTATTGCAGTGTTGCATCATAAAACAGTGGTATACATTTACATTAAGGATATTTAACTAAGAGGTATCCAGAATTTACATGGGAGACCTGGACAAGGGGTTCAATTTCAATTTTGGGTAGTTTTGTAAAAATGTAAATCATATACCTTAAACTGTTGATTTTTTGCTTCAAGTCAATCTCTGAACCTTCTTGCCTGCACCCTCCCCCATGAGATCTCTTATAAGCATTCATCTTTTTCAGTAGCATATTATCACAGGCCTATAGAGTTGACACAAATATCCAGCTCCTTTCAGTTGTCTAATATATTTTGCAAGAATTCTTTATCTATTGTAGTAGTTGATGTGTATGTCTATAAATAATCCTGTGGTTGTTATACCTGACTGGTGGTTTCTCAACTTAGGCATTTATGATCTTTGTTCCGTTAAGAAATTTCAGAATGTGTCTGATACCCCTAGTTCATTTTGAGACTTGGTAAACAATCAGTATACAGATATAATGTTGTTTGTTTTCCCTTTCTTTCTCATTATTTCTTGGGTTAGTCAAGGGATGAAATTTGCTTTCAAATGTCCTTTTTTAAAAAAACTCCTTTTAATGATTTTACCCCTTTTAATTAAGTACTGTGGTTTTGCTCTATTGAATCTTTCACTTGCAGAACTATTTTGAATGCCTGTATCCAAGAAACTGGTTATAATGATTAAATACAGTTTCTAAACCAATCTGAAAATGAGTATTTAATGAATATTTTTTATGGAAGAAATGTAGTAGGTGAAACCTGATGTATTGATTAAAAATTGTCAGTCATTTAAAAGATATGTATAATTTTACAGAGTAGGTAGGATGTTTCTGCATGTAAGGATAGCACTAAGCAAAACCAAATTTAAAATAAGAGCATACTTGTTTTATCTTTATTATTTTCATGAGTAAAAATTTATCTATCTCCCTGCCCTGCTTCTGCAAAGGAGCTGGAGGGCCTTGACACAGTGTTAATGTAACATACTTAATGTTACGTACTTAATAATGTATACTTCAGCATGTGTAACATACTAAATAATGAAACGTACTTTATGTTATAGATACGCATACCAACTTTTAAAGCATTATACAGTACAGTATTAAATGCGTAATAATGAATTCTAGCCAACATACTAGATTTGAAGTCCTAGTTCATAAAATCACTGGTATAAATGATTGGATTGGGGATGGTAGTGTTTGCATCAGTTGTAGGTTGAGCAGGAGACAATGGCATTTAACCAAAGTTTATAAATACAGATTATCATCTTGACATACAGCATTGTTTGCTCTTTTCAACTCCAATATTTTACTTTCATATCTGTGATATTTCCTAGTGTACTAGTATGGTTTTTCTAAAAATGTTAATCCTAACAATAGGACCTGACTTTCCTAAGCAGTATGGGTAGATGCTCTTTGCTCAGGAGCAGTGGAGACTTACTGCAAAATTACCAGCTCAGAATTATTAAAGTCTGCAGCTCTGTGAGCTGCAGTTACACACTACAAAATCCCATATTGGAAGAGAAAGATGGAGGGAGGCTGGGGAGGCTTGGGGCCAGGTGGGCAGGAGTGGGGACAGAGACTGATGTCAGTTCCAGATGACCTTTGTGTATGTTAAGAGCAAAATTCCCAAGATGGTCTTGTATTCAGTGTGAGTTACTTTCACTTTCACAACATGGCCCTTTGCATAGTGACCACAGTTCTGGTGTTTGCACATAATTCCCATTGCTTCTTGGGCTAGGAGCATGTGGGCTGTGTCTTAACACAACGCACTTCTGCCTTTCAGAAGTTTCAGTTTTGATGAAATTGAAGCTGAAAGAGGGTATAGAATTGTTTGTATCAGTGAAATATTTTGCTATCAATTTTTTACTGCTATGTTTAGGTCATTGTGAACAGTTTAGCCTTCAAGACTATAGTTTTTGCAGTCCTTCAGATGTTGAATTTCACACAGCAACAACAAAATTTTGAATTGTTATTTGAAGTTTTGAATGGAAAGTAGTTTGCAAATCAGTTTTTCTCTACTAATTTGAGTTTAAACTACAACCCATTTTAGTTTCTCTGGTCATCGTGGTGATGAAATAATGTTAATGAAGAGAAAAAAATGGCAGAAGCAGCTCATCTTATGATGGTTGGAGGCTGTCTTGGGCATAACAATCACAAAATGACAGAGTTTTCCATTGTTGGAGAAGTAAGGAGAGGGGTCAGCAAAACTTTGAAGTGTTGGCCTGTTAGGGTGCCTTGTTGACAGAGTCCCTTGGGAGGCAGCCCTTCAGGGCAAAGGGGTCCAGGAAGGTTGGATATTGTTCAAGAAGGAACTCATAAAGGCTCAGGAGCAGGCTTGTGCTGAAAGGTGGGTGTCAGTCTCTTCTCTCAAGTAACAAGTGATAGGATGAGAGGAAATGTCCTCAAGTTGCACCCAGGGAGATTGGATATTAGGAATAATGTCTTCACTGAAAGGGTTGTTCAGGCACTGGAAAAGGCTGCCCAGGGAGGTGGTGGAGTCACCCTGGAGGGTATTTAAAAGGCCTGTAGATGTGGTGCTTAAGGAATGTGGTTTAGTGGTGCTAGGTTTATGATTGGACTCTTAAAGGTCATTTCAATCTAAATGATTCTATGATCTTCAGTGTATTAACAAAAAAACCTGGTATTTCTGAACTTATTTCAAATTAGTTGGACTCACTTGTATCCAATACAGCAAGTGAATACTCCCGTATCTTTCTTTCTCTTAGTAACATAATCCAGTTTTCACCTGGATGTACTCAAATTCTCTGTAGGGTTTTTCCTGCTTGTGATGTAGTTAGTGTCAATCAGAGTGAGCTTTGATCCGAGGCAAGTGCTGCTTACTGCTCTCTTGGTAAACTTTGTTGAAGCTATGATTGACCCCTCTAATGTAAACCAAAGTCTGCAGTCAAGGGGGGAAGAAAAGGGGAGTAAAGAAGGTGTGAATGTTACGCCAGTGGGATTATCTCCATAGTCTTGGAGACCCTGCCATAGTAGTATTGGGCTTGTAGGTGCAAGACTATACATGAGAGAATAACAGCAGGAAGCCAACAAGGAAGAACCCTCTGTTGCTTAGGTGAAAGATTAAAGAGCTGTGAGAGGCTCTGCGGTCTGCAGAAGTCATTTGCAAAGGCTGAGGCACCAAAGATGCTGTGTGACAGAATAAAGGGGATTTTGGTAGTTATTCCAGCTGTGCAAAGCTTCTGTCAGAGCATCCCCAACCCTGAGACTGGCACGTGAGCTCTGAATGCCAGTACCCAGGTCCCAGGTGCTGCTCCCAAACTTCCACAGATCATTGCAGGGAATAGGATCTCCATGCTTACTTCTCCACAAGGTTTGCAGGATTTGCCAAAGGTGCAGTAAACTTGCTCTATACCTGGCTTCAGCTGAGAAGATTCAAATCCATACCTCCCAAACTTAGGAAGGGTCCTCAGCCACCTGGCTTAGTCTTTGCTATGGACTCTCGAGCGTTTGTTGCTTCTGATAAAGCTGTATCTCTTGTGGGAGAAATAGGGAACATAGTCCTGATCACAGCTAATTTATTTTTTTTTAGCCTAATGACTTGGGCTGGACTTTAATCCTTGCTCCCAGCTTTATTGATGATTTAGACCTAATGAGTCTGTGAAACAAAGAATTAATTCTTAGGATACTACCTGGCATTACAGCTGCTTACAGACTTCAGAAAAGGCTGGGTGGTTCTGCTTTTGGATTTTGATGCCTGTGTGTCATGGCACTTTGTTATAGCCACATCTGGGCCTATATTGTGATAATTTTTATTTTCCAGGAATGCTTTTTAGCAAAGATGGTTAGGGGGAAAGACTTCTGCTTAAGGACACTTGGCAATAAGATGAATC